AGGCAGAATCAAGGGTTGCCTCAGCAGGGAAACCACTGAGAAGATCTGCAGCAGAACCCTTGGCTGCTCTCCGCATGGCATTGAATATGGCGGTGTCAGAGTGAGCATTTTCACGTCGACACCCCAATATTTCAAGGCGCCACTGACTATATTTCACATCACCCTTTGCCCTATCCCCTGAAAATGTTGACAACCGGGGACTTGGTGCATTGATAATTGGCATGTACGAGGTGTGTGATATGGGCATAGTGGAATGCGGAGTTGCCAGGAACTGACTAGGCTGAGCAGTTGGAGTGTACCCAGGGTATAGAATGGGCATGGGTGCATGTCTGTTGGGCCAAGCCTCATTTGGTGCCCCAGTCGGACGTGTAATGACACGCGACTGCTGTGAGTAAGGGGTTGATGAACCCTGGGGTTGATTATAGCTAAAGAGTGACCCGTAGGGCCTAGGCAAAGATTTCGGCAATTCTATCCTAGGGCTATGGTCTTGTGGGGGTATTGTCCGCTGGGAAGGCTCCATGGGTGACCATATATCAGGCAACAAAGGAGACCCCAGAGGTGAATGTGTTAGCAGTGACGGTAGCCCAGGTGAATATGGTTGGGGAACAACCCTTTGGCTATCCACAGGAGGTGGAGGCACATGCGGCCGAAACAACGTATCTCCAGACCCAACATCAGCTACATAAGTGGTCTGAGGTGGATGTGGATTAGCGTCATCTGCTAGACGGTAGAGTAAACTAGTACGGACTAAGGGATCAAGCTGATGGATGAAATCCACAACCTGATCAACCTGTGATCTAACATCACTGTCCGACTGAGCCATGATGTGTATGATAATACAAGTATGACAAACCTCCAAAAAGGCAACAAGGATCCTGTACGTTGGGACCCAACAACAATATTATGAACCGAGGCGATCGCAAAGTGCAAAAACTCCTAAGTATTAGGAAACCAAGTGCAGGGCTCCTACAAAAGCAAGGATACAAGATGGACTATGGTGTGATATGGGTAGACTTACAACTGCGGGGAACTAACCACTACCCCAGGTAAGCAACAAAGTTCAATAGCAATGCAAGTAGCCGAACAACAATCAGGATGTAGTCACCTGAAGGACAACTTATGCATGTACTGAGGTCAGGTAAAATGAAACACTAGCCAGATGATCCCAATGAAAATGAAATAATCCAGCAAGCAAAGGCTACGGGGTGAGACTAACCTGGCAACAACTACAAAGTCATCCCAGATACAAGCAGTAACTGCAAGTACTACAGACCAGACAACCACTGGAAATAAGTCAAGATGCAGCAATAACTGAGTTGTACATACAGAAAGTAAACGTAACAGTAGATACTGACTGAACTCCACTGTCACATATGTAACTTACATATGAGGGGAAACTATACAAATATCTCACATCACAGATATACTGTTACTTGAGATAATAGATATGCAATTGAGGGAAATACTGAGGACCTAATCACTGATGGTGTTCAAATATTTCAAACAGAAGATCTGATATGACTGATGATAGTGATGAAGCCTATAATGGGATATGGTATATGATGAAATGAAGAAACAACACAAGACAAGACAAAATACTTATGGTAAACATGTTAGTGGTTTGCTGAAGAGAGATATGTCCACACGGAAGGAAAGACAGCAGGAACAGCATGGAAAAAGAAGTACTGAGGATAGAGTCTGACACAGGTAAAGTAAGAAGGGTATCAATGCAAATATCAAAAGTATTGACAGAAAATATATCAAGTAAAAAAAACAAACTTTGGATTTTGAAATTGAACTGTTTAAGTTAAATGTTAAATAATTTCAAATATAAATTTGGAATCAAAGTCAAATAATTACCAGCTACACTTAATATTAACCTGAAATTTTGATCAGTGGTGAAATTTTGAATAGATATGAACTCCAATTAATTTTTCAGAATAAACTTGTCAGTGAGATGAAAATGAATCTATACTATATATATATATAATTTAAATAAACACTGTAGACATAGAAATGTGGTAGAAATAGAATTTGTACTATAATATAATCAATACTCTGTAAAAGTCAATAGGATTATAAATTTCAAACAAATATAAACATGATAAACATATAATATATATCACAGGATAAATACAAAATATATAGGGTGGATCACAAATGTCTCGAAAGTCAGGCTCAAAAGTCAATGTCCTGAATTTGTGAAACACAAAAAATCAAAAGTCACAAGGTCCATACACTTCATAAACATTGATGAATGAATTATTCATTCACATAAGTGTATATGATGTCCTTGGAAACTGCATGAACTCTTCTATGTTGAATTCCATCTAATGAATGATGAACTGCCTCTTCTCACTGTACAAGTGATGATGCTGATGAAACTAGCAGCCCCACGTTGCTGGACACATCACACCACGCCCGGCTACAAAATGGCGCCCCACGTTGGGCGCCATTTTGTAGCCGGGCGTGGTGTGATGTGTCCAGCCACTGGGCTGCTAGTCAAAACATGAGGCAGTTCTTGAAGATGATGATGATTTTATTCTTTTGTAGTAGATGGTGGGAGGGAAGCTGTAAACAAGAGTCCTCCCTCCATAAAGAGTTCATGCAGAATGCATGAGGAGGGCAGGTGAGAAAGGAAGTTTAAAGAAGTGGACCAAAGGGCCAATCAGAAGAAAGGTAGCATCTGACAGGTATTAAAAGGAAGTCAAGATGCTTCAGTCACATAAAGTGGTGGACATGTCTAAAAATAGATAGGGGGAAGTCCAGGTGAAGCTGGAGAAATTACAGAGGCTGCAGAAGGGTATCAGGTTGGTGTTAGTTGGCTGACATTCAACTGCAGACAAGGACAACATATAATGAACATATAATGAACACAGAATGAAGTGATGGTGATAATAGATGAACATGTATGTATATATGTATAGAATGAATCTAAGGGGGGTTATAAGTGGGTGGTACTTATGTGGCTATAACTCATTCAGAGTTAGCACCACCACCCGGCTACAAGTGCAAAGGACATTATACATCCCATACTTTCAGAGACATACAGAAATCATAGTGCTATGAACATTGTACATCCCATACTTTCAGAGACATACAGAAATCAGTGCAAAGGACATTATACATCCCATACTTTCAGAGACATACAGAAATCAGTGCAAAGGACATTATACATCCCATACTTTCAGAGACATACAGAAATCATAGTGCTATGAACATTGTACGTCCCATACTTTCAGAGACATACAGAAATCATAGTGCTATGAACATTGTACGTCCCATACTTTCAGAGACACACAGAAATCATAGTGCTATGAACATTGTACATCCCATACTTTCAGAGACATACAGAAATCAGTGCAAAGGACATTATACATCCCATACTTTCAGAGACATACAGAAATCAGTGCAAAGGACATTATACATCCCATACTTTCAGAGACATACAGAAATCATAGTGCTATGAACATTGTACGTCCCATACTTTCAGAGACACACAGAAATCAGTGCAAAGGACATTATACATCCCATACTTTCAGAGACATACAGAAATCATAGTGCTAGGAACATTGTACGTCCCATACTTTCAGAGACATACAGAAATCATAGTGCTATGAACATTGTACGTCCCATACTTTCAGTGACATACAGAAATCAGTGCAAAGGACATTATACATCCCATACTTTCAGAGACATACAGAAATCATAGTGCTATGAACATTGTACGTCCCATACTTTCAGAGACATACAGAAATCATAGTGCTAGGAACATTGTACGTCCCATACTTTCAGAGACATACAGAAATCATAGTGCTAGGAACATTGTACGTCCCATACTTTCAGAGACATACAGAAATCATAGTGCTAGGAACATTGTACGTCCCATACTTTCAGAGACATACAGAAATCAGTGCAAAGGACATTATACATCCCATACTTTCAGAGACATACAGAAATCATAGTGCTATGAACATTGTACGTCCCATACTTTCAGAGACATACAGAAATCATAGTGCAAAGGACATTATACATCCCATACTTTCAGGGACATACAGAAATCATAGTGCTAAGAACATTGTACGTCCCATACTTTCAGAGACATACAGAAATCATAGTGCTAAGAACATTGTACGTCCCATACTTTCAGAGACATACAGAAATCATAGTGCAAAGGACATTATACATCCCATACTTTCGGAGACATACAGAAATCATAGTGCTATGAACATTACAAATCACATACTGTACTTTAAAAGATGTACAGAAACCTTCATGCTAAGGTCAGCCAGAAATACGGATCACTTTATTGGTAACAATCATCCCATTTTCGGACCTACATAGTGCTGATATTAGTTCAACTACTGTTGTCCCTATAAACAGAAGACCAGCTGTGTGACTTCACCAGCATTACTACCGACAGTACCACAATGGTGCTGACACCAACTTGCATATCAAATTGCAAGTTTCCAATTATGTTTTCAATCTGAACTATGAATGAAACAAAAAAAAAACCTAATAATTTTCAGTTTTCAGCAAATAAGCTGTTCCATTTTATTACATTTCTAGTAGAAGGATTTCATTAACAATAAACAATCTCCATCACTACTAAATGTACCTTTCAACAATCCTTTTGAACCTGATCCTGATCAACTTAGATCAGAAGATCATCACAGGATATTGTTAATCCTACACAGAACAGGGTGGTGTATTTCCTCCAGACAATTGGATACAAAAAGAGGCATAATTTCAAAATATAAACTCAAAACAAAAAATCAGCAAATGGCAAAAGAATCCAACACTTACAATGCTAAATCTGAGCTGAAATCAAAGGCTTGACGTCTTCTGATCTGAACAACTCAAAATCATGAAGCATCTACTTTATCAATCTTACTGCAGGTTGAATAGTGTGAACCTTGGACCCGAAACACTATACTCTGCCCAATCACATTTACTGCCCCTGAACGGAGAGATTAGGTCCATGCTGGTGTGTAGCCTACCTGTAGCTCCGAGAGGGTGGCCTTTAGATATGAGTCCACCGCTGGGGTTGACAACATACTTTCCTCCATATGTGTTATCACCTCTGTCCACCATCTCGCCTGCCTTTCCTGATAATACACACAAAAGGTGTAACTCCAACATTACCTGAGCAGTGTTGGACTTTGAACTGAACTACTACGATCTTTCTGAAACATTACTTTTTTAAGTGTTGATAAAATCACGTAACAGCACTGTAGTTCACCTGCATGTGTAGTCAACAGTATAAAATGTCAACAAAGAGCAATTTAACAAGAGCTGTTATCACCACTGACATAAAAATATAAGCAGCAGTAATACAGAGCTAGCTTTACAACAAACACTAAAATCTAACTTGGAACAAAACATGACGTCATCATACATGTCATCAGGAGAAAGAAAGATGCCATAGTCTGGCAATATTAAAGTGAGTGAGTGAGTAGGGTTTTATTCTGCTTTCAGCAGTATTCCAGCAATATCACGATGGGGGACACCAGGAAAATGGGCATCACACATTGTGCCTATGTTGGGAATCGAACCCGGGTCTTCAGCGCGATGAGCCAACGCTTTACCCACTAGGCTACCCCACTGCCCCTGGCAATATCAGAGAAAAGGTTTTCAGAGCCAAACATGCATGTTCAGATAAATTAGTAGCATGGTCACAGTATCAAGGTCAATCAAGGTCAATCAAGGTCAATCAAGGTCAAAATTTAAAATATTGCAAAAAAACACACAAACAAACCCAGAACATTTATATTGAGCCTCACTACCTTCTAAACATATGCCAAATTCCTTTACATTTTGAACACAAAAGTCTAAAAAATAGCTTTTTCAATATGGTGGCCATTTTGAAAATTGGATTCAGCCCTATTGAACAAACTGGTGGCAACAAGAATGAGAAGTTTCAGCTTCATTGGTCCAGTGGTATCTGAGGAGACAAATGATCCATGATTTTTTTCCCCAATATGGCTACCAATAGCCATATTTGATTTCCGATCAAGATGGCTTGAACAAACTGTAACTGCACATGGTGACCATGTCATCCACCACGTTTCAGGCCTCTGGCCCTTTCAGTTATGAACAAATTCCAATTTTGATGCCTTGAACAAACTTCAACCCCTTCATAGTAGCAAACATCCACACAATTTTTCAGTTGAATCCATCAACCCATTTCAAAGCAGAAGCTGAAAATGTAACTAAAGTAACTGTAAACCAATGATGGATGACTTAAGCCTGCATGGCTTCTCAGGTCAGGTGAGCTAACAATAAGGATACAGCATTGTAAGCCACCTGGATATGTAGTCAACAACTAAAACTGTCAAGTAAGGCCACAATTATATAATTATACTTTTTTAGAAATTGAGATGAGTGAGGAAATATATTAGCTATTTCCAAGGACACCAAACTTGACTCTCAAAACATTGAAACAGAAATGCTTAAAACTCCCTCGTGTCACTGGAATTACTGTTCTCCAACTTGAGCAACAGCCAATCATCAAGTCTTTTGACAGCCACAGTCCTACAGTCATAAGATTCAGTACGATTTTGGTAACATGAAAGAAAACCTAGTGGAAGTGAAGAAGTAATGTTTTCCCACCTCACGCATGCGTAGTTGCATTTCCTGCAAATGACAGGGTTTCCTCACTATACTGAACCGCAAAAGAAACGTCACCATGGATAGATATATGAGAAACCTTATTTGTCCAAACACTGTAAACTTATATTGAGACATATTAAAAAGATGAAACTTGGCAAAACTGATCATCAAGGTTGAAATTAAAGTGTCAAATGTTCTTAAAGTGAAACACAACACTAGTCTCTGAGAAAATGGTATCACAAGTCAGTATCTCGTGTGTCCGCCATGTGCATTGATGACTGCCGTGCAATGTCGTTACATGGAATGGATAAGACGGTTGATGAAGGCCATAGGCACTTGAGTCTGACGCAGTTCAGCTGCAGTTGTCGGCCTTGGTCGGACGTCATTCAGCTGTCTTTGAATCTCGTCCCACAGGTGCTTAATGGGATTTAAATCAGGACTGAGGGCAGGCCACTGCATGGTTCTGATGCCATTCTGCTGGAGGAAGTCTTTTGTTGCTCTCGCAGCGTGGGCACAGGCGTTATCATGCTGAAACTTGTGGTTGCGGCTACATGCCAAATGAGGTATGGCTTGATCAATGTATCGAGCAGCTGTGACACCATTGCCTCTCCCTGGAACGATGTTCTGGAAGACCAAAGGGCCGACCCTCTGTGCAAGACCAATTCCATTCCACACCACACCATGATGCTCGAACCACCCCACGAGTCTCTCTCAACAACACAAGCATCTGCATAATGTTCGGCAGACTCTCTCTCTGCCATCTGCTGTTGAGATACAGAGTCTTCTCCACAGCTGGTGGCGCCAATGCTGGTGCTGTGCTGCCCACTGAAGACAGTCCCGGCGATGACGTGGTGACAGAATGGGTCCTCGGTGTGGCCTGTGACAGTGGAGGTGTCTGCTTGTCAATCGTCGACGCACGTTGTTCGCACTAATGTGTCGCTGATGTGTCCCCATGGTCTGTCCAGCAGTTTCCGCAGCAGTAACAAAGCGATCTTGAAGATGCTGTCGCACAATCTGACAATCCTGACGTCAGTTGGTGACCCTTCCACTACGAGGAAGGTCATCTGTAGTGTTGGTGGTCTGGAACCGTTGCTGGAGCCTGTATATGGTCCTTACATGGACTTGAATTGCATTAGCTATCTGCTGGGCGGTTTGTCCAGCTTGCAATCATCCAAGGGCTTGGTGTCGCTGATTTCTTGTCAATCTTGGCATGTGGTAGCGATTCAATAACGAATGAATGTTATCCGATCTGTATTTTTATAGGGCAAGAAAGAGCGGACCGCATGTGCATTTCAATTTGCACGGACCTCACGTGCATCAGTTTACCATGGCTTTTGCCGTGATGCGTTTGGGCGATCGGTTTTATTGTCATCTGCTTTGTTTTTTATCATCAAATTTCATTTTTATGGACAAGGTAATGTTAAATTTTAGAAAATTACCCAGATATTTAAATGCCAACATTTCATGCAATGTCACTTGGGGTGATGTTTCTTTTGCAGTTCAGTATATTAGATATGTTGGCAGTGAAGAGGTCTCTTGAAAATCTAATGGTGTGGTTGACAGCCAAAACAAGAATTTGTGGCTATGGTGTAATAGAGGAAAGGTATTCAAAGGCATTATGGGTTTTGTACCTGTGTGAGGAATGGACTTTGTACCTGTGTGAGGAATGGGTTTTGTACCTGTGTGATAATTGGACTTTGTACCTGTGTGATAATTGGACTTTGTACCTATGTGAGAAATGGACTTTGTACCTACATGAGGGATGGACTTTGTACCTGTGTGAGGGATGGGCTTTGTACCTGTGTGAGAAATGGACTTTGTACCTGTGTGAGGGATGGGTTTTGTACCTTTGTGAGAAATGGTCTTTGTACCTGTGTGAGGAATGGACTTTGTACCTGTGTGAGAAATGGACTTTGTACCTGTGTGAGGGATGGACATTGTACCTGTGTGAGGAATAGACTTTGTACCTGTGTGAGGAATAGACTTTGTACCTGTGTGAGGAATAGACTTTGTACCTGTGTGAGGAATGTGCTTTGTACCTGTGTGAGGAATGTGCTTTGTACCTGTGTGAGGAATGTGCTTTGTACCTGTGTGAGAAATGGACTTTGTACCTGTGTGAGGAATGGACTTTGTACCTGTGTGAGGGATGGACATTCTACCTATGTGAGGAATGGACTTTGTACCTGTGTGAGGGATGGACATTCTACCTATGTGAGGAATGGACTTTGTACCTGTGTGAGGGATTGACTTTGTACCTGTGTGAGGAATGGACTTTGTACCTGTGTGAGGGATGGACTTTGTACCTGTGTGAGGAATGGACTTTGTACCTGTGTGAGAAATGGACTTTGTACCTGTGTGAGGGATGGACATTCTACCTATGTGAGGAATGGACTTTGTACCTGTGTGAGGGATGGACATTCTACCTATGTGAGGAATGGACTTTGTACCTGTGTGAGGGATTGATTTTGTACCTGTGTGAGGAATGGACTTTGTACCTGTGTGAGGGATGGACTTTGTACCTGTGTGAGGGATGGGTTTTGTACCTACATGAGGGACAGACTTTGTACCTGTGTGAGGAATGGACTTTGTACCTGTGTGAGAAATGGACTTTATACTGTGTGAGGAATGGGCTTTGTACCTGTGTGAGGAATGGGTTTTGTACCTACATGAGGGACAGACTTTGTACCTGTTTGAGAAATGGACTTTGTACCTGTGTGAGGAATGGACTTTGTACCTGTGTGAGAAATGGACTTTGTACCTACATGAGGGATGGACTTCTTACCTGTGTGTGGAATGGGTTTTGTACCTGTGTGAGGAATGGGCCTTGTACCTACGTGAGGGGTGGGCCTTGTCTATTCTTACTCAAGTTATCACTGAAAGTCTCAGACAATTTTTTATTATATACTTTCATGGCATTCTGCTAGAAAACGAAATTGAACGATGTTCAACAGCTGGCCTTTTTGAATAATGTACTAACATTTTCAATGTCGCTAAAGAGTTGCTAGTTACCTGTGTCACAGAGCCCAAGAGCCTCATATGTGATGAGCTCATTGCAGGAGAAACAGTCGTGAAGCTCCACCACATGCACGTCATCCCGCTTCAACCCTGCAGCACAGCAACATCTACATTAACATCTTCACAGTTTATCTTGGCTCATAGCTGTTTTATTAATTGGTTTGGGACTTATAAATATCATTCCTTATGGGCAGCACAATGAAAACTGACTGCATTAAAAGAATACACACCAGCTTTTTGGAACACTTTATCAGCAGCTTTTTTGGTCATATCAAATCCCACCTGAAATAAGAGTTGGTAGAATGACTTAACTGTCTTAAACAACTATATATACCGTATTTTCTTGAGTATAGTGCGCACTTTTTTTCGAAAAAACACAGCTGTGTAGAAGGGGGTGCGCATTAAACACGAATTATGAGTTTGGATGTTTTTTTCCCCCATGGAAAGACATTACCGTGAGCACGAAACACCGGGAATACCATGTCAACAAATCCATACTGAAGTACGCAAAATAATTATGTAATTACACTGTCTGGCTATAAAAAAGTGTTCTTTGTATATCTGGACTTATGTTTGTAACTTATTTCATTGACTTTATTCAAAATTCCTTATAATCTGATGATATTGTTTTTATTAATTTCGGCGAAATCGTGTGTGAAGCGATCGGAAGATCGCACAACTCACCGTTATTAACAGCAACCACGGTCAGAATACCGCTATTGACGCCTTGAAACAAACTTTAGTTGACAGAGAATGGATACATATATCATAAATGACATACTTTGACTCGTTAAAAGTCATATTTGTTTTTGTTTGACGATTCTATGTCAACATGAAATTCTCGCGATCACGTGATCATGTGCGCGTGAGCCTTGACGGTGACTGGTCAGACATGTTCCATGTAAAAAATAATACCCGGGAATAGCGATCAGCTGCTTCGCTTAGGGTTATTATTATTTTAAATATGTTTATTAAAGGTTGCATATAATTAAGAAAATAATGGAATATATTATTCCTGATAAATAAAATAGTTTCAGATACAATTGTTGCCGATCCTTGCATTAAAAATCTTATAAAGTTATATCATTGGGTGTGTCTTGACCGAATCACCGGTCGATTCCAAGAAAACGTGTGTACAGCTGATTGCTGTTTCCAGCTTAGTTTACGAGAAAATACGCAAGGTAATCTTAATCCCTAAATATAAAACAATGCCTAGCAGAACAATAAATTCTATTTAAACGGTAAATAAACATGTCTGGTGATTTTTTATCTCAAATTTCGAATTTGTACTGATGAAGTTTCTCAGCACCCGTTCGTTTGCCGGACTTCGCTGAAAGGGTACAGTGTAAAAAATTTCTGCGCATAATATTCAAATTTCTTTTTTTCCAAAATATTGAACCCGCTAGAGGGGGGTGCGCATTATACATGGGTGCGCACTATACTCAAGAAAATACGGTATATATATATGTACCAAATAGCTTTGACACATATCATTAACTTACAGGTGTGAGCAGTGAAATGGATTAAATGGATCTACACTGTAGATATCGCTGCAATGAATTTACATCACAATGCTTTGCAGACCATTGTGATGTCACTGGTTACAATGACGTCACAATCAAATGACATCACTAATGGCTCTGCTACTGAAGCTGTTAGCAGTACTTTTTACACTGAAGACACTGCTAATTACTGTCTTCAAATTGAAAAAAGTTGAAAGAATGATGTTGGATGATAAATAAAATCTCACCCTCGTGTCTTTTGATATCAAATATATCAACACTTGTTGATAAAAGTGGCAAAAATCCTCGGCAAGCCTCGGATTTTTTCCACTTTTATCAACTCGTGTTGATATATTTGATATCAAAAGACACTCGGGTGAGATTCTCTATGTACACATAAGGGTACAATGTTATTTTAGTCTTCAAATGTACATGAAACATTTACTGGTGACTTCTCAGCAGCTGCCTCAGTGAGTCTAACCAAGCCTGTTTCTTACCATCTTCATACAACTGTTTTCATTGAAGGCTGAGGGCAGGTCTGTAGCCATCTCCATAGCAAGGATCTCCACAGCCTGTTCCTGCAAGTTGTTGTTCCTCACAAACTCCTCACTGGCTAACACTGCAGCAGCCGACCCGTCAGACGTGGGACTACAACAGAACACACAACATTTCAACAACATACACTACAGATACAAACTCTTCACTGGCTAACACTGCAGCAGCCGACCCGTCAGACGTGGGACTACAACAGAACACTCAACATTTCAACAACATACACTACAGATACAAACTCCTCACTGGCTAACACTGCAGCAGCCGACCCGTCAGACGTGGGTCTACACTGACAGTTTATACTGTGTTTATACTGTGTTTATACTGCACATGTAAGATACATCTACATGAAAAAAACTTTCAAACTCAGTCTACTGAAACAGAAGCAACCACTTTCTCTAACTCTGACTTATTACATCTTAAGGTAATCTGGTCATGACAAGGTCCACCCAGCCACAAGCTGATTCAAACCATCTTGACCAACACAAACTTTGATTTACTTACAAACTTTCACCTGAACTTAGGCCTGATCCATCTGTGTACGTCAGGAAACAGTAGTTTACCAAACAGCTTTGGACTAATACAACATAAAATTAATACTAGCACTTACCAACACTGTAGCTTGGTAAGAGGGTCGTGTATTTTGGGTGAAGACAGAATCTGTTCCAGAGAGTACTCAGTTTGGAACTGTGAGTACCTGCAAGCACAATCATTGATACTCCAAGCTCCATCAGCAACCATGGTAGGCGACCAACATTTTGTCTAACATACTACATGCAGCATGGGAAAATTTGTGGGTCCCATTTTACCAAAATTGATAATTTTAGTAAAATCTAAATATTTTTTACATTTGTATACTTATCCTGCATTACTCCGTATTGCATTTACTGCTGTCTTTGATAGAGAGACGAACTGTGTGAGATCCAGCTGCTGAAGAAAGTTGTTTCCATCTGTCCAGGAAGCAGCGCCCCCTCCCACACAGTCGGAACGTGACCCGGAAGACATGACGTCATGTCAAAACACATAACTGCTTTAACATAACATCGGAAACTTCGTGGGGAGGAAGCGGAGCGCAGGGGGGGGCACTTAGACTTCGTAATGCAGGATAAGTATACAAATGTAAAAAATATTTAGATTTTACTAAATTTTTTAACTTATCCTGCATTACTCCGTATTGCATCTTTATCAGACGGCACGGCCGGTGGGCATACCTTCAGATGTGAGCCAGAAGAAAACCCTCGACAAAGGTCCGATGAAATCGCACCACATGGACAAGAGATGACCGGAACACCAGCGACCATTCCTGTCAAAGGAAACGAGAGTCGATGCAAAAGAGGGAACCCGAAATAGGTGACAGAAATAGTATGAGGCGGGAATGCCAAAACTAGCACTGACCTAAGAGTGAATGCGGAACGCAGTAGAGCCCCCTAATCTGGGGTGATAAACACCAGAGAGTTCGACGGGCCCCGCTCAGGGTAACGGAGAATCAGTGGCGTCGGGGGTTGGTGACCTGTTGAGCTACCACCAGGGGACCAAAGCTATGAACGCCAGCGACATCTTCCAAGGCTACATCACGGAGGTAGTGGTTGGCGAAAACGGTGTCGGATCGCCAAAAACAGCCTTCCATGATCGATTTGAGGGAACAGTTACTGTGCAGAGCCATGGTAGACGCGACCGCCCGAATCTTGTGGGGGTTGTTAGCCTTGGGGGGGTCCAATCCGGCGACTTTATAAGCTTGGAGGATGACCGCCCGGAGCCACAGGGAGATAGTATTCCGGCTGACCTCCGACAGCGACGAAGGGGAGACCGGTAGGAAAAGGCGTTTCCTAGACTTACGGCAGGCTTTAGATCGTCGCAGGAAAACCTTCAGGGCCCTAACTGGGCATAATAAAAGCTCCTCCACGTCGTCGGCACCCACAATCGACGAAAGTGGAGGGATGGTGAAGGATCTATCAGGCTGTCCGGGGAGTTGATTCTTTGCGATGAAGTCCCAGCACAGCCCAAGATGAACTGCTCCATGAGTCCCGCGTTCGAACCGGACCCGAGAGACGTCGAGGGCGTGGAGCTCACTAACCTGGGCGTCCGTAGCCAAGGCCAGTAGAAACACTGTCTTCTTCGTCAAGTCGTAAAAGGAAGACGTGTGGAGTGGTTCGAAGGGAGCCTCCCGAAGAGCCTTTAAGACCACATTCAGATCCCACGCAGGCGGTCTGAACTTGGCTTTCTGGTCGTCGAGACGAAACGAGCGCAGCATAGACTGGAGTTCGGGAATTTTCGTCATTCTCCGGTCGTCCGGGATGGCAAGGACGGAGTTAATGGCGACCAGGTACGTGGAGATGGTAGAGCCTTTTAATTGACGCGTGCTGCGCAAGTACAGAAGAAACTCAGCCAGGAACTGCGGTGATGCCATCATCGGATCCTGATTCTTGTCAGAGCAAAACGCCTGGAACGAGGACCATTTATCATCATATAGTCCCCGTGTAGATGGACGATGGGCGAAAGCAATAGCCTTGGCTGCTCTTGTCGAATAGCCCTTGGCTCCTAGGGCTTTTTGCAGATGTGCCAGGCGTGCAGATGAAACCGAGCGGGACTTGGGTGGGGCAACCGACTGTGTGGGTGGAGCAGCAGGTTGGACCACGCTGGCAGTTCTAGAGGGTTGTCTCTGGCGACGTTTCGGAGGTCGACAAACCAACTTCTGGCCGGCCACCAAGGCGCGACCAAAATCAGTGTCAAGTGTCGAGTGGCCTGGATCTTTTGAAGAACCCTGGGAAGGAGAACCGGAGGCGGAAAAGCGTACGCACTTAATCCCTCCCAGGGAACACTGAAGGCGTCGACTGCTACAGCGGCCGGATCCGGGACCGGCGAGATGTAAGTCGGCAGCTGGCAGTTCTGAGACGTGGCGAACAGATCGATGTTTGGAGTGGCGATTGTTTGACAAAGGACTGTGAAGATCTCTGGGTGGAGTCGCCATTCGGTGGGAGCCACCTTGTCCGGCCTGGACAGAGCGTCTGCCAGAACATTCTTGCAACCTGGAATGTGCTGAACAAGGAATTGCAAGTCTAAGCGGTCCACCAGGTCGAAGAATCGGAAGGTCTGGTTGAGCAGGGACTGAGAGTGGAGAGTACCCTGATTCCTCAGACACCACACCACAGTGATGTTGTCCATGGAGATGGTCAACTGGGCGTGACGGAGAATGCTCTGCCAGTGGGAGACGGCCAGTATGAGAGCTTCGAGTTCGAGGTTGTTGCTGTGCCAGTGGAGTCGATCTCCGGACCACAGCCCTGCAACTGTTTGAGTCCCCAGGTGAGCCCCCCCAACCCTGTTTGGATGCGTCGACGAACAGGTGGAGGGAGGGCTGTAGCGCGGTCAAGGAGACGCCGCCGCAGACGTTCGATTCCACCGTCCACCATCGGAGGAAGGGGTGGAGGTGGACCGGGAGGACGATGAGGGACTCCGGATCCTGCTGCCGGATAAAGGGTGCGAGAAACCGTTGAATTGGACGAAGTTGGAGGCGACCTCTGGCAGTCAGGTCTTGAGCCGACGTGAGGAGACCCAATAGAACCTGACATTGGCGGAGAGTTCGAGCCTGTTGAAGGGCAGGGAAGAGATGAGCGAGGATTTTCAACCACCTGTCTCTGGGGACTTGAAGGAGGTCCTGATCCGTGAGAAACAGGCCCCCGATAAACTGCAGACGGAACGATGGGGTCAGCTCCGACTTCGTCTGATTGACGATCCAACCCAACTGATTGAAGAGCCGCAGGGTAAAATCCCTGTGACGCAGTAGCAACGCCGAGTCCCGATTGTTGAGGAGACAATCGTCGATGTATGGATCGAAGTTGATGTTCCTCAGGTGTAGGTAGGCGGCGACCGGGCGGGTGATCCGTGTGAAAAGCCACGGGGCCGTTGAAATTCCAAATGGTAGGACCGCCCACTGGTAATAGGTACCATTGAAAAAGAACCTGAGGAAGCGCCGGTCGTTGGATGGGTACATGAAGATAGGCGTCCTGGATGTCGAGGCTGATCAGGGAATCGCCAGCTGAGATTCTCGTCCTGAGCAGTCGCAACGTCGTCATTCGGAAGTAGGAAGGACGTTCCAGGTAGTGCCGGTTGAAAGTGGAGAGATTGTGTATCATGCGCCAGCTGGTGGTCCCCTTCTTGGGCACCAGAAACACCGGAGAGTAAAATCCTGGGTGTCGAGCCGGGTCGTGTACGATCTCTATGGCCTCCTTCTGCAGTAGGGAAACGATGCTGTCGTGAAGGGGCCGAAGCTGGTGGGGTGAATAAGCGGCTGTTGACGGAGTAGACGTCAGAGGAGGAAGTGCAGCCAATGGGAGCTGGTACCCCTGACGGAGGACGTTGGTGACGAACGGGTCCTCCAGTATGGACCAGTTTCTCCAAAACCGGCCTAGTCTCCCACCCACAGGTGTGTCGGTGACCGGAACGGCTGGGGGTGGGAGGTCCCAGTCGTTGAGGTCCCGCCGGTCAACGCTTTGAGGTGGAATCGGCACCCTTGCCGGGGCGACGATCCCTTCGGGGCTGGTAAGGTATGTTTGGAGACGACCTTGAGGGAGGAACGGTGTGGTTTATAGTTGCCTTTGGAGGACTTGGCCGCTGATTGGTGTGTGACATGCTCCAAGGCTCTGAGAGCAGTTTCATCCCTGGCGAAGCTGGAGACTCGGGTGTGGGTAGCGCAGATAGCACCATTAAAAAGGGTAGGACCCGACCAAGGTTGTCGTAGTAAGGAACGCTTGAATTCGGAATCCCAGTCCGTGGAAGTCAAGTAACCCAACCGTCGAGTAGTGGTGATCTCCGCAAGTCCAGCTCTCAGGTGATTGCGCATGTGATCGATCTGGCGAAGTTGGAATGTCATAACCGTGCGCAAGTGGTCGATCCTGTTAGGATTGGATTCAGCGAGATCCTGGTCAATGGCTCTGGCAGATGAGGCAAGTGTAGATAGTGGCTTCAAAGTACGGCGCAGTACTGTTTCCACGAAAGCGAGTCGTGAGTCCGGCATATGTTTGGTGACGGACTGGGAAGACCCGGTCATTCGATGTAAGTCCTCGTCGAGGATATGTGCACCGTCGGCCACGTCGAAGGAGTGGACGGGGAAATCTTCCCGCCGGAAACGAGGAGCCTTGAACGACGGTGTGAGGGACAACTTAGCGAAGTCCTCGTCCAACGCCGTAACCAGGTCAGTGAGCATTGGGTCGGGTGGTAGAGAAGTCGGATTAGACCAGATCGTCAACTTTTTATCCACATCGGAGCCCGGGGAGGGAGCGACGGAGGCCAGACGGTCCGCCAACCAATCAGCAACCTGTGAAAGGCCCAAGTGTGTATCAATCTCGGGAGATGGAGGGTCATAATTGGGGCGAAATGATCCTTCCGAGGAGGAGGAACGACGTCGTCGTCTTTGTACGGGTGAGCGACTACGAGAGCGACGACAGGAACGAGCAGACTTGGACGAGTGCCGAGAAACAGTCGTAGGCCACGAGGTGTACAATGTTCGAGACCGAGAAGCACCCGATGTGGAGGGGGCCGCAGGAATCGAAGAAACAGTAGTCGGGGCCGTCGCAGGAGGCACCGTCGGCGCCGCTGAGGTGGGTTGAGCTTGCGCAAACAATGACTGCATCCAAGCTTGCATCCAAGATGGATCCATGAACGATGACGGAAGGGCATGTCCATAAGTAGGAGGCGCAGCACAAGTCAAAGGCGTCGAAGTAGTCAGAGGCGCCGTATACATCGAAGACATCAGAGGCGCCGGACCAAGGGGCGCCAGATACATCGGAGGCGCCAGAGGCGCCGGACCATGAGGCGCCGGACCAAGAGGCGCCGGATAAATCAGAGGCGCCGGACCAAGAGGCGCCGGATACATCAGAGGCGCCGGACCAAGAGGCGCCGGGTACATCGGAGGCGCCGGAGTTGTCGACGTAGATGGTGACAGGAAACCCGAAACGGGCGATGCTGCAGACGATGATGTCGAAGCAGGCGACGGTAAGGGTGGTGTAGGAGACCGTGTACAGTCAGATGTCGTGCCTTGGGAGGCAGACTCTACGTTGGATGGCATGTTGAAGAGTCGACGCACACGCTGGGTGAATCATTTCCGAGACACTCTTAGGTAGGCGGTGAAGGAGACTGGCGACAAGGGACTACAATAACTGCAACGCTCTGTGAGGGTACAGGGGGTTGTACAGTCCAGGCAGCAGGGGTGGGGGTCCCGTCCAGATTTATTCCCGCGGCAGCGAGAGCAGCGAGACATACTGGAATTGAAGCAAAAACATAACGATGTGTAAACACACAACGTGAAACATAATGTAACTCAACATAACTTATTCTTGTTACAAAGTTAATAAGAGCAAACAATTACGCTTCAAACACGCCAAAAACAATCATTAAACTTAATCTAAAACTCCAACCATAGAGCGAATTCAAGACACAAAACACGAAAGTACGTGGACACGTAGTGAATCGCAACAGGGCGGGAAAAAATGGCGATTAACCAAAATGGCGGGAAACAACAATACGCTCGGAAAAACCGTGACGAGAGTCACAACCCGAGCGAGAAACGTTACCAATTAACAATATAATGAAGGCAAAGGTAATACAGCAGACTTTTGTCGTAATAAACGAAAGAAAGTCAGGACCAAGAAAGCTTTAATAATTCCACTGAGGGATACAGTTCACGTCCGATCCATGTGGTTGACAAAGCAGTTATGTGTTTTGACATGACGTCATGTCTTCCGGGTCACGTGCCGACTGTGTGGGACAGATGGAAACAACTTTCTTCAGCAGCTGGATCTCACACAGTTTGTCTCTCTGTCAAAGACAGCAGTAAATGCAATACGGAGTAATGCAGGATAAGTTAAAAAAATTACATTAATTTTGATATTTAACCCTTATCCTGACTCACATATAACATTATATCTCATTTCTCAAACAAAAAGTGCAAACACAGTTTGCAAACGCTTCAGTTTGCAGAAACTCTTAACATCTACCCCCGAATGCAACCCGTCCGTGATACACACGTCCTGTCACAAAATCTTTGTTCTTGTCTTCTGAAGCTGGAGTACAGTCTAGATGAGTCGATCCTGAGTGGGGTTAGATGAGCTGGCAGATTATCCCATGAGACGGATAAGTATCAAATCGGTCTTACATATAGTATAGGAAGGTCAAGCTGGAGGGAGGTTAATTCGACCACTAAGAGTTGACGCAATCACTCAGACCTCTCGTGTGCCACACACAAATCCAATTATGTCAAGTAACCGATGGCACCCCTCACCAAATGACTATGATAATGAGAGTTACTATGTACATAACAAGAAAACAGCATTATCACTATCCCTCGCCATGGGGCACTTTAGAATTTTGTTTGTTCATATAGTAGTGAATAACATGGAAGTTAATGTTAACAATAAAAAAAGAGTTGTATAAAGCCTTTAGAAGATATAGGTGCTTGGGTCACTTTATGGCATCAGTAAAAATGATTAAATGTTAAAATTTATACACACAAAAAACCCTGTCCGTGGAAAAAATAATTTATGGCACCAATTCCCGATCTAAGTCTTGATAAGTATCTCTTAGATAAGCTTGCAAAGTTTCCTTCATGTAACTTCAGTAGTTTCTGGGGGGATAATAGTTATGTCTGATTGACAATCAAGACTTTTAACACAGATTCTTCAAGTACAGGTGTAACGTTCGGGGAGGAAAGTTCATCTGAATCACATGGTGTGCAAGTACCATGGGGCTGAACTGGTGAAGGCCAGCAACACCTTAGATGCAGACAAAGGCAGCGACTTGCAACAAAGCATCCCTCCATGATGCTAGAGAGGGAGAAATTACAATGAAGAGTCTGTGTAGAGGTGAGCGGATTGTTGGTACTGGCATGTAGTAAATCCCTAAATCCTCCAAAAGGCAAATGTTGTGTTTGAGACCTCTGTTCATATAGTTGGTGATGGCAGAACATACAGACAGTTCTGACTCCGACTTAGCTGTTCAGTAGTTCCGGTGAACTAGAATGTCCTCTGGTAAGTGTAGCCATATCAGATGACTGCTGTAATCAGCAATGTCACAGGCCAGGTGATTAGCCATGAAACAGAGCTGTTGGATACATCATCCTGTTCACGACGATCATCACCTTGTTTCATCTGGAAACGCCTTTCTTAATACGTTGAAGATATACAACAAACTCCTCTTCTGAGATAAACTGACAATAAGAACGATTGCCATTGGAACAATTGATGGGCTTCAAACTAGGACACATCTGGTGAGAATCAGTCCTTGATGTGTTCTTCTTACGAATGAAGCAGAAACTACCACCCATTGTAGAAATCTCGTAGAGAAGAATAAGAAGCAAACAGCAAAACAATCAAGCTGTCTGCCAATATATATCAGAACAAGTTCCCATGTGTGTTCTACAAGGTGAAACAGGCAAGAATGAAGGCTTGGGGGCAAGCCATGTATGTTATTGATGGGCTGTGTTTGGAAGAGGTGTTTCAAGTTTCTGCAAACAGATGTGTTTGTTAGCAGTGTTTCCACTTTGTGTTTGTAAAATGAGACTACATGCTACAGACGGGATTAAGCAAACATACTGATGAACGTGACACATTTTTCATGTACTTACGGATTATTTGTGGAATGTTTGTGGTTCTTGTATGCAATCTTTGCAAAATGTTCTGGTTTTGTTCCTGTAAATAATATCAATATTCCAGATCAGTAAACAAACAAGGACCTGAAGCTCACCTCTGTAAACAGACGTTTCTCGAATATGATACAAATTAGTTAAAATTTAATCATCTTATGGTATTGTGGTCAACACCTGATTCATCTTCCAAATGTATTTAGTTGCTCTGTATGTAGTACATCTAGTATGACATTTCAGGAATTAATTCCTCTTTCATGTAACTTCATGTGCCTACCATATTTCTGCATATGTTCTCGCCCAGCATTTCCAAACATTTGAGCAGAGACTGGACTTGCCTCCAGGCCGAATGTGTTCATCATAACCTCCACATGCTTGTCTACTGGGTTGGTGCGGTCTGAATACTGGAAACACACAAACATGTGGGATCAACCGTCAGGTTGAAGAAAGGCATTCATTCTACTCCTCTTACTACTTATGATCAATGAGACATACTACCGACAAAAAGTAAGGGAACGAATGATCTGAATGTAGCTATCCTTCAGCTGTACATTTACAATACTGCGGTGTTGTGTCTGAACGCAACGTCTAGTGACAATGCAATGAAATTTCACACAATGTATTAAGGGCATGAAGTGCACACGCAACACAGAAGACAAAGTGTGTGAGCCCTGTATGCAAACTATGCAAAATGTTCTGGTTTTGTCAAATGAGTACCATCAAGAGGGTGGGGTCGCCGCAATAGGTACCGTCAAGGGGGTAGGGTCACCACTATAAGTACCGTCAAGGGGGTGGGGTCACCGCAATAAGTACCGTCAAGGGGGTGGGGTCACAGCAATAAGTACCGTCAAGGGGGTGGGGTCACAATAAGCACCGTCAAGGGGTTGGGGTCGCACTAAGTACTGTCAAGGGGGTGGGGTCGCAATAAGTACTGCAAGGGGTTGGATTCGCCGCAATAAGTACCGTCAAGGGAGTGGGGTCGCAGTAAGTACCATCAAGGGGGTGGGGTTGCAATAAGTACCGTCAAGGGGGTGGGGTTGCAATGAGTACCGTCAAGGGGGTGGGGTCGCTGCAGTAAGTACCGTATATGACCGCGGATAAGCCGACCCCGTAGATAAGCCGAGGTGTTAATTTGACCATTGAAATACGAAAGAAAATGGTATGACCCGCAGATAAGCCGAACCAGGAATTAAAAGGCAAAAAACACTGCGAAGTCGGACTGCAAGACATGTGCCGGTACTCGCAGATATTCAAAAATATAAGATGAAAAACGTTGTAATTATATTGAAAAAGTCATTATTATTTCTAATAAAGATTTAACAAACCAGTCATCCACTTTCATAATGTGGGAAGCTGTTTCTCGTGGGTTTTTTTAATCTCATAATGATCGTTATATGTTGCCATCAACAACGAAGCGCCATTTTGTGAATCGGTGCATATAGAATTATGATCCCGTGAGAAAATATATCGGCTAGTGCGAAGACGCGCAGTTTGAATTCAGCATCGTAAGCGTGGCGTTTTCGTTTCAAACTCATGATGAGAATGTCAGTCAGTAAAAATATACCAACTTTTATAACCCCCTTACACCACTATTGTATGTTAATCCAATTGAATTAAATAAACTATCATACTATGAACACATTGAATGACCATCACTTACTCACAGGCTTCTCCAGTTTAATAAACTAATCTCTCGAAAACAAAGGAATTAAGCCCCTACTCCCAACACGATCGCTAAGCACCCACAACTTGAAAATGTTTGTGTAAACAACATGACAATACCAATCGGCCCGTTATTATCAATGCTCATTTCCTTGTGTACCGTGTTGCTTTAAACAACAGGAAGCAATCACAGTGGTCACCGTTTGTGACGTCACAGGAAACAGCTGATCACATGTTTTTGCAAATGGCGAACGGAATAACTCGCAGATACAGTTGTTTATTTGCCTCTTTCAATAAAGGTAGACACTTGTTCACTATCAATTTATGAACTTTGCAAAACGTACGTAATAGCTATTGGCGATTTCATTTGGGGATTATATATTATAGCTGTGAATTACATATATTGTTACATGTAAAGATCGCGGAGTTTACGAAGAATGATAAACTTTGAACATTCAATTGAAAACTTATTATCGGAAGTAGTAACATGCATAACTTTTTTTTTAATAATGACAACATTGGTGTATAATAATAACTTTATTGATAATTTATAACAATAATGTCTCTAGTCGTGGCAACTTCCAAACTTTCGGGAAGTTGTTATCTAACGGACCCTCATTCAGGCGATGTTTTTGACCGATCACGATCTGAAAAATACTATCATGAAAGTGTATCCCGTGGATAAGCCGACCCCTTTCTACAGAATCTTTTTTCTGGTCCTCAAAATTCGGCTTATACGCGGTCATATACGGTACCGTCAAGGGGGTGGGGTTGCAATAAGTACCGTCAGGGGGGTAGGGTCGCAATTAGTACCGCCAAGGGGATGGGGTTGCAATGAGTACCGTCAAGGGGGTGGGGTTGCAATAAGTACTGTCAGGGGGGTGGGGTTGCAATAAGTACTGTCAAACCAGTGGGGTTGCAAAGAGACCTTGGCATAAAACACAGCACCTAGACAAGATTGTCTGCTAAAAGCAACAACTTACCATAGGCAATAAAGATTGGGGTGGCATTTACATCTACCATGTAATGTGATGACGTATATGATACAATAACAATGAACACAAAGCTAAGTACCCTTTATATTGAACAAGTATTTGTCACAGAGTGACGAAATATCCCCCGCCTGTACACCATAGTACCAAATATGAAGACAATCCAGCGATTAGTTCTTGAGATATTGTGGCAACACCGTTTTCCAACTCCAAAAACAGATTTGCCTGCTGTGACCTTGAAAATGGGGTCAAGGTCACCAAATCTGACAGGTGGATGCGGTGTCTGTATATACACTATAGTTCCAAATATGAAGACAATCCAGCGATTAGTTCTTGAGATATCGCGGCAACACCGTTTTCTAACTCCAAAAGCAGATTTACCTGCTGTGACCTTGAAAATGGGGTCAAGGTCACCAAAACCGACTGGTGTCTGCGGTGTCTGTATATACACCATAGTTCCAAATATGAAGACAATCCAGTGTTTAGTTCTTGAGATATCGCGGCAACACCGTTTTCCAACTCCAAAAGCAGATTTGCCTGCTGTGACCTTGAAAATGGGATCAAGGTCACCAAAACCGACTGGTGTCTGCGGAGTCTGTATATACACCATAGTTCCAAATATGAAGACAATCCAGTGTTAAGTTCTTGAGATATCGCGGCAACACCGTTTTCCAACTCCAAAAGCAGATTTGCCTGCTGTGACCTTGAAAATGGGATCAAGGTCACCAAAACCGACTGGTGTCTGCGGAGTCTGTATATACACCATAGTTCCAAATATGAAGACAATCCAGTGTTTAGTTCTTGAGATATCGCGGCAACAAACAGGTGGGACGTACGGACGGACGGACGGACGTACGGACGGACGTACGGACGGTCGTGAATACTATATCCCCCGCTTCGCGCTTTCGCGCAGCGGGGGATAATAAAAATATCATTAAGAAAAAAAAAGGGTTGGGCTAGGCAACACCAGGGACAGACTGTAGGCCAATGGCGTAACACAATGTTTACAGATAAATTAAGGTTTTGCCTCCAATTCGCGGATGGCAGAAAACGTTGGCAACGATTCTTGACCATAATCGGTAGGACGACAGTAATGTCATGGTGTAGGGCAGTATCACATGACAGGCGTACTGATATGGTTATTGTGAATGGACATTTGACTGGCCAGCGATGTGTCGATGAGATTTTGCATCCTGTTATTCCATTTGCTAGAATTATCGGCAGAAATTTTGAACTGCAAGATGACCAAATCAGACCATATCATCAGTGATCATCTCCACTAGAAGTCATACAGACATGGTGAGGCCCGCAAAGTACGCTGACATGTCCCAGTAAAGCATCTGTGAGATGTTCTAGGGCGGAGGGTCCGCCAGAGACCCAGCACATGACGTGGTTCAGCTTGCGGTTGCTCTTCAGGCAGAATGATGGGCAATACCAAGGGCAACCATACGCATGTTAATCCACAGTATCGCAAAGTAGACACAATTATGGATAACAACTTCTTTATTTACTGTAATGTGACATTTCGGTATAAACCTTTTAATTAATCCACATGGTGGAAACACCAGATATTGATCTTCACACCCAAAATTAATTTTACTGACATTATCGTCATTACACCTTCACTATCATTTCATCAGTTCCCTTATTTGTTGTTGGTAGTATATCTGCTCTTTTCCAGACCAAGTCCATTTACAAACCTTGACAATACTGTCAGGGGGAAACAAATCATCTTCCTGAAATGATGTATTAATAAGCTCATAGATTTTGACATTGATCTCTGTTGATAAGTCTTGAAACTAGAATCAGTTACCATATTTGCAATAAACAAGTTACATATTCGAACTACATACGTCCAGTGGCAAGTGATGAGAGCAAAATCAGTCAACAATACCATTGTTCACACTTCACTGAAATATGGTCCTACCGAACACTGCACATAATGTCATTTGGTTATTCTTTCCTCCTCACAAATGTGACATTGTTGGAAGGATTGTTTTCTGAAGTCTTTCCACTTGATGCAAATCAGCCTCTGTCCAACATGATCACATGTACACTGTGGATGTGCACCAAAAGAGTTTGTTTTTGGATGTATAGAGAGGTGACTGTACTTTGTTTCAGAAACAAGTGACTATACTATGTTATCATGTGAGGTGAGGTGAAATGGGGTTTAACGTCGCATCCAAGTATATTGCACTAATATAGCGACATACGTGTGTCTGCTTGTACTAGTTCGGACTAATGCCGATTTTATAGTGATAGCACACTCAGACTCCAAGCCATGCAGTCTTTGTTTTGGCCCCTTAATGCCAAGTGCAAGTCAGGGTAACAACAAGTACAATCTTTTAACATCCTTTGATATGACGCTGCCAGGGATCAGGGATCGAACCCCGGACATTCCACTTTCCAGGCAGACGCTCTACCACTAGACCATGGAGGCAGTCTATTTTATTTATTTTTTTCAGCGATATAGAGTGACAATTGTTTGTTCCAGAGATATAGGAGTGACTACACTTACTTTGTTTTTCAGAGATCCCTTCTCCATCTTTTCAAAGCCCAGAGCAAGAACACAATCAGCAAGACCTGCAATGACACCACCATACTTCCAGCCCTCCATACTATACTTAGCAGTGCTTCAAAAGGTGCTGGGTTGCAAGGTTACCATACAGAAACAATCACACAGTGAGCGCCTGTACTTGGAAGTGTTTAGCTGATGCAACTGAGGTGGTTCTCCATCTGCATAATGCCACTATTTCTAAGATGATAGTCTATGTCGAGGAGGCATGTCTTAGATGCACATCTTTCACATCAAATCAACACACCTGGCACATCAACATCCCTTTCTCAAAAATGTTTACTCCAAATACATTGTTGCTCAAGTTGTAACTTCCATTAAGCAAGTTAACTATAGTGACATTACCTCCTTCAATGAGCTGCTTGGCCATGAAGATGGCAGTGGAGCCAGTGGAGCAGTTGTTGTTCACCTGTAGTGGGAGTCATCAGACAGGCATAAAACTCTGTGTTCTATATATACACACATATTTGCTTAACAATTTCTACTAGTAAATAACAAAAGAGACAACTAGGATACTTGCAACATCATGTACCAAAATAAAAATAACCATCTAACAACTTAATATTCATTTCTTATCCATAACTTTGATGGGATAGTTGTGTCAAATGAATTTGTAGACATGTTAAACAACTACTGATAGATTCAATGGTCCAGCAATAAACTAAGTTGACAACAGGTTATCAGTTAATACCAAAGGTACTTTGTGAGAAACAAATGTCCCAGGTAACTACTAGTGACCACTAGTAACCACTAGTAACCACTGGTAGCCATGCTCATACATAAAGGTGAATTTGGTAAGGAAAAACATGTCAGAATCAAGCAAAAATAAATGGTGTTTCATTATTTCTCTTGTATGATAAAAGTTATTAGTAATGTACTGTGGAATTTGTGTTGTTTTGTAGTCTTGCACTTTGGAAACCAAATCACTATAAAACATAACATCTGGTGCTGTTTGTCTATGAAACTTGTAACAAGTAAGAACGAAGACTTGAAAACCCATACTACAATCCTGGTTAAAATCTTTCACACCAGAGAAACATTTTGGCTATCAATGGCTACCAATATTCTGTTAAAGAATACCTGCCAACCACTGGTCACCTCTGTTAAGACTTGTGGTGACCAGTGATAGCTATTAGTGCCAATTGCTTCTGGTACCCATGGTAGTAACTGAATGTCATACGTAATGCAATACTTCACCAAGTACGGAAAGTCTAGCTGTTAATCATCATGGTCATAATCATGCATGTACATCAAAATTATCACTACATTTCTCAAGCAGTTGTTGAGATGTTGCTTTTTTCAGATGGAGACTCCAGTGTTCTGGTGTCAGCATCTTGTCTGATTTCTCAAAGTTTCCAAAACACCTTACAGCTACGGATTGTCATGTCCAAAGTGAAATCAGTAAAATATGTGAAGCAACTATAACTTGACTAGCTAAGGCACTCTTCCAAGAGAGAGGCGCATGCATCATCCAGAAGACCAGAGATTTGAAGGATCATGCTTGACAGAGGCAGAGTGAGGCAAGGGACTAAGTTGTTCTCTTTGATGTTGTAGGTGATGAACTTTTTCGAATGTGAAGAAGAGGAACACAAAGTATCTGCTACCCACATTCTGACCATGTATCTGTGGCCTTTAAAAGTAGGTACCCAAGGGAGGTGCTTAGGTCATTCCTTTCACATCTAGAATCAACCAGTAACTAGAAAACCTCTCATCACTGTGCTCAACTGAGATCATGAAGCAGCTGCCATGTGATGTTGAATCCCATCAATACTGAAGGATGGGCTGGATCATGCTGGCTCCCCATGACAAGATCTTAAGGCCCCTGCATAACTATGTGAGAGTTGTAGTAAGAGGGTATTTCTGAGTACTCACGTTGTACACTGGAATACCAGTCATGCCCATTTGGTACACAGCTCTCTGCCCACATGCTGAGTCACCTGCAAACAGATACACAAGACATGTCACACATCAACATCAGATACGATACACAACAAACAATCTAACCCAGCCAATTTATCTCAGTCTGAATATCCCAGACACATCTTATGTCATCAACAGGTTCTGCTTCGCTGGCCCACCAGGAAACAAAGGTCTGCTCGTGAGATCTGCTTTCCTTGACCACCGGTAGAAGGTCTGACAGTTAGATCAGGTACTTGCCCACCGGTAGAAAGAGGTCTGACAGTGAGATCAGGTACTTGCCCACCAGTAGAAGGAGGTCTGACAGTGAGATCAGGTACTTGGCCAGAAATGTCAGTCTAATTACCCTCCTGGAATTGTTTAATTTGCATGGATGAAAAATGCTTTGTATTTGTACCTACCATAAACATAGCCAACACATGCCTGCTCAATCTTGTCATAGGAAATCCCTGCGTCTTGAAGAGCCTTGGTACCTGAAGTATCAATTAGAAAGGTCAGGTGTAGTAATAGTAGAACCCTCTGCCAAGTTCAGGGAGCACTGCAGTGCTTGTACCCTTTGTTTACATCATGTGAAACAGCTCCAGTTTTATGTGCATAAGAGAACTCCATGTCAGGGATAGAAATTAATTCTGGCCTGTCGGCCAAAGGGAAGCAGAAATTATTTCTGGCTAATAAAATAATTCTATTAGCCCATAGACTAAGTTTTTTGACACATTCTGTTAATTATCTATCATCTTCTGAATTCCTCGTCAAATTGCTGTGCTAGAAGCTTGGCATAACATTTCAAGTCTTTCTTTCTCACGAATAATGTACACAATTTCCAATTTAACTCTATCCACATATTCTGACTGATTCCTTATATTTTAATGTATTTATGGAACTTGCAAATTATCGCCTTCTCATACAACATAATCATCACTACTAAAACATCACACACATATTTTCACAGGCAGTGAATTCAGTATCAGGTCTCCTGTGAAATCCATTGGCGAGAGACGTGATATTAGGGTCACTTTGTGGGACCACACTGGCATATGCCTCTATATGGGAGGGTAATAAGGATGTCATACATTGGGAGGAAGTTGGTGATAAATGTTATAAATGCATGGTATGTTTGAGGTATCAGACTATTATGTAATGGAAACCAAATGATATTTCTAGTATCACCTTGAAATGAACACTGTTGTTATCAATTGAATATCTTGTCTGGGGTATTTCTATCCTGCAAACAACTGCAATGCATAGTCACCTGAAGGCTAATAGAAGGACAAGCTTTTTAAGGGACTTCCATACACATGTCACAATTCATCTGTATTCGGGATAGTAAATTAATGTTTCAGTTTAAACTGTCTGTGCCAAAAACTATTGAGTCTACAAGCCCGAACATCTTTTTTAATAGATTTTAGTGTTATCATATGGACTACCAGCTGAGCTTACTAGACCGGATAGAAATTTACTATGCTCTGGTTTCAGAAGAGTGTCTAAAGTCCCAGACTGGTTAAGTTGCATCTTTAAAAAGCTGAATGCAGGATGACTGCCCAAAAGGATCATAATGGAGTCCCGATTTGGCAGAAACAACAGCTCTTTCTGTCCAGCTAGAATTACATCATGTCATAAGCATACAGACAGATCGTGAAGCACCACTGCATTCATAATCTTTAATTTCTTCACTCACAAGATTCTTTCGCCATGTCAGGGTAGTCAAAATCATCTCGGCGACCAGGCTTCTCAAACTGAAAATCATATTGGAAAATAAACTCACTGCAGAATATCTCTTCTATTTCTACTTATTTGTAAGAATAATAATTGCAAATATTAGTATAAATTGTATATTTATATACTAACTTCACATTATGCATTTCTTCTTCTTCACTCCAATTTGGAAAGATGCTTGTGTTGAACCATGTTTCCAGCTTCTAAAACAAACAACCTTCACCCGTACACACCCCAGCATCGCTATGGTTACTGATCAACAACTGGGTCAATTTCGTGCTGTCAAATACAGTGACCTTACATGACCTGATGACATGTGTTTCTCTGCCAACTCATTCTCCTTTGTAGAGCTATCAGGCTGGAGGAGAACCGAGATGTGGGGATGGTCAGGTGGGCATATTGCAATCTTCCTGAGGCAAAGGAGTTAACTGACAACATATGCAGATGTTACAAGATAACTTGGGAGGTTCCACAGGGGCCGGAAACCTGAGGAGTGGTCCACCAGTTTGTAGGAGCGGATAAGGGATGAGTTCTGCTATCAGTGGAGAATGGTAATGTTGCGAGCGCGACGATAAGTTTCGAAGGCCATCCACTTATGAAAGGCGCGTGGTAGATGAACGCTGCAACAATAGTCTTTGCTACCCGCTTGGAATAGCCTTTGGCGATAAGGGACTTCTGCAAATATGCCAGACACATAGATGGAGTGTTGCGAGGGTCACTGGGTGTGAGGTTAAAGTAGAAGGCTGTTGCCTGTTGGCGAGCCTTAGCAAAGTGGGGAACCAGTCGTGCGATGGTGCAACCTAAGTCAGAGACAGGTGACTGGTGGCCTCTACCTTCTGCAGGACTCGGGGAAGAACACCTGTTGGAGGAAAGGCATTAAGTGTTGTCGGACTGTACCATGAGTTGAGAGGAGCGTACGAGTTCCGCCCAATGAGACACTGCTAGAATGACCGCCTTGAAAAATCAGTGTTTGACAATCCCCGATCCAGAGGAAGGGTGTAAGAAAGCATTGAAGCGGCTGCAGGTGCAGTTGGCCTTGCAAGGTGAGAGCTTGCGCTGACATCAAGAGGCCCAGGAGCTGTTGGCATTGTCAGAGCTGGAGCAGCTGTTTGAGTGCGAATAGAAAAACTGTTGAATCTTCACCCAACGATCACATTGAATGAACATCATGCCTTGACGAGTGTCGAAAAAGGGCCCCATTGGGAGGGAATTAACTCTGACTTGACAACGTTGACCTACCTCCGGAGTTGGTGCAGGATAAGTCAAGTATGTCCGCATCTCCATGTGCCTGAATCCAGTCGTCAAGATAGGAGTTGAACACGATTCTGTGAAAGATGAAGGAATTTTGTGATGGGTCTGGTAATGTGGCCCAAAAAATTCTAAACAGGAGCACCTTCTATTGGTAGTGGCAGCCTTGGAAAATAAACCGAAGGAATTGCCGGCGCTCCCAATGGATCGGAACATGCAGATAGGCGTCCTTTTGATCAAGGCTTACTAGGAAATCGCCATCATACGAATGAGGCGGGTCTTCCAGATAGCTCACACATGTGCGCACACAGCAGTACTCTCAACGTCTAACTGTCAGCAACCTCACATAGAACACTACTTATCAGTAATGTGTTACCCTGGTGATATCGAATGCGAGGTCTCGTTATATTTATGAACTAACTTTTAACATTTCACAGTAGCATACCTATAGCGTCGAACAGGGTCGATAGCTGTCTGGCAGGATATTCCCTCTGTAGAGGTCAAACGTAGTTGGTAGTGAGGTCCATTCTTGAGCAACTGTGTAAGGAAGGGGTGTGCGAAGACGATCCATTTGTCTGCCAATGGAGTATCTGTGACGGGAACGGCTGGAGGTGGAAGTACCCAGTCTTCCCGTAGTGGAGGGGAGTGGCTTCTCCGTTGAGTTTCCCCCTCCGGAAGACTTTAGGTCCGGAAAACAAGATGGAACGTCCAGTGGAAGACTTAGAGCCACACTGTCCCCAACGTCCTCTTTCGGGGCCCCGAAAGATGGTAAAGATTACGATGAGTGGGCATGAAGTGAGGATGGCTACATTCCTTCTTTTTTCTATCCTCCAGTTGTTGCTTGTGTAGGTGAGAGGATATCAACTGTGCCTTGTAAGTGGGTGTCTTTCTGAACTTCCTGAGAGACCTCCTGAATCCGGTCCACGAACAGGTTACAAGACCACCATTGGAGTTGATATAGGCTGGCCTTGAATTGGTCATCCCAAAGAAAGTGCTGTAGCACACTATGGGGACGAAGAGCTGTGACTGAGCCTGCGTGATGGGATAAGAGATCAAGAATGCCATGTAGGATGTCCCAGTCCATAAAAGAAAGCTACCCTAAAAGAAAGCAAATATATTCTCTGGGTCCAAGAAACACATCCACACACAGTGGTGATGAGAAAGAGAAGGAGTTGGCAGAGAGAGACACGTCATCAGGTCATGTAAGGTCACTGTTCACGGGAGCACGTAATTGACCCAGTGGTTGGTCAGTAACCATAGTGATGTGGGGTGTGTTCAGGTGAGTGTTTTTTGTTCTAGATGCTGGAAACATGGTCCAAGCATGTTTCCACATTTGATCAAAGAAGAAAAAATGCATAGTGCTAGATGGGATAAGTTTAAAAATTGATTGCACTATTTGCATTACCACTGTGTGAACTAGTATGATTGTTTGATAATATTTCGAAACAAGAGTCATCGGGAGGTGAAATATGGTGCAATATGAAAATGGGCTACTTATACCCCACTTTTGGTTCACTGCCATTGGATACATGCAGTTCTGTGAAGAAAAACACAATTCTGTTCAGTATTTTTCAATACCCAAATCATCCCAAGACGCCATTTCACCACAAGACTGATCTGTATAGCAAGTTTCATCTAGAAATGGAAAACAGACATAGGACAGATTGACATGCTATATTCCCCTATTTTTCAAAACAGGGGGATGACAAATTAACCCAATGTGGATTCCCAAATCAGAACAGGACCACTACGCCCAATTCTTGTCAAAAGGGCATCCACAGAGTACAACTTGTTGGTCACATTCTTGTATGTGATTACATGTAGTTGTATGAACTGAAGTTGTATGTTGTTTCATGAGATCTCTGCCTATAGCCGAGACAAAATGTTTGAAAATGTCCACATTGTGTGAAAATTATGGGTGTGTGACACTGGACCTACCTCTGACTTGTCAAACTAACAATGATGTAGTGTACTGAATTTTATCAAAAATTCATTTCAAATATAAGAATGGTCAGAAGAGAACATCAACAATAACTGGATGTATCTCTCGCAAAAATGGATTTTCCCCATCAAAACAAGGTAGAGAGGGATTTTCAAGTGCCAAAGAAAAAGGGGCATAACTGTGTTGTGCTTAACTGTAGAATATTTTAACTTGGTTGCTCTGGTGAGAATTCACTATGGGTCACAATACATTTTTCTTTGTTTATGTGTAGCAAAAAGGTCATAAAACCCTTAATTTTGGTTCAGAGCATAAAAAGATTTGATGAAAACAACATAATTTAACGCTTTTTCAATGCAACAGGAAATCTTTCCGTTAAAAATGTCTTGAATGGTAAAAAAATAAGATTAATTGTTTGTTAATATAATTTAACAAGTCATACAACGGTTAGGCATCAGTATGATAAAATTCAAATATTTAAACACAGTTAACATACAAAGATATTTTTAAAATATGACTTGTACGTATTTCACAAGAAAGTGGTTGATTATCTTCCTTTCCTTAGTTGACAGAGAATTGATGCATTATATCATTATTGCCATATTTTGACTTGTTACAAGTCATATTTGTAGTACTTTGACCAGAATAAGCCCACATATTAATTTTGCGATTGAAATTGCTAGACTGCTCAAAACCTCAACAGTGAATGTTCCATATGTAAAAAGTATCTGAAAATGTACCAGTTCAGGGATGCAACTCAGTCTTCTGGGCCATCAATGACCCTACCAAGTATATGCAAACAGCCCAGGTAACTATTTCAATTAATTTGCTGTGCTCAGTATAGTTATTACCCATGTACATAAAAGAGGCTTGCAACAACAACAAAATATTTCTTTAAATTTAGTGTTATGAGTATTGTTTTACAGTTTCACAAATGCAGTTGATGTTCCTGTTTGCAGTCCTGATCAGATCATTAGAACAAGGGGTCCTTGAGTTATGATCATATATTGTCCTGGGCCCACTTGCACAAAGCGATCTTAGCGCTACAACTATTGTAAGCCTATGTTAAAGTATGGGAGTTAAGATCATCTTAGCGCTAAGATCGCTTTGTGCAAGTGGGCCAGTCAGTGTATTCATGTATGATTTTGGATAATGTCCTCACAACATATACTTTATATTTTTCATATTGTTGATAATTAACACGTTTGCATCCTACATTTTGTAGTAGTATGTTATTATGTATATATCATCAAGTCAGAGCTCCAGATAAGCTTTTGGTGTTGTGGGTATTTTACCCTTGCATTTAAAAATCAATGGGTATCAGTAATTCTATCTGGGTATTCAAATTTCTGTTACCCTCTAGTTTTTACACATGTGGGTATTTAAGTTAAATATTTAAAAACACTATTCATCTAGTCCCTGCAAACTGGTGTCGTGTGGGCTCGAGAGCTTTAAAGGACTCAAAAATACCATGATACTTCCACAAGAAAGTGTGATGGCAAATGATCATGATGTAACTGTCATCGTGGAGTTCGGCAAGGTTGGCGGAATGTTTGTATATAATTTCAAAATAAGTTGCTGATTTGCTTATCGAATACGCAGGGTTACTTCACAATATTTTGATGATACGCATGTTTTATTTTTGTAGCATATCAGCAATGTTCGTTGCGTATTTGATACGCTTGAATATTATTTCACTGCTTATTTCTGCATTTCTGATGCGTATTTTACGCAGGTACACATCTTATCTGGAGCTCTGTCAAGTGTATTTTAATGTCAGTTTTTATTGTAATCCCGAAGTCTTAGTCGTTCAACCACCCAATCTAACCAGCTTCACTATTACAACTAAGATCAACACGGCGCAAAGAAGTTTGTAGTATACATGTACTTAACTATTGATGTAAGTACTGATGTATATACTGTCATTATGACCAGCACATGTGTAACCCAGAAGATAAAACAAATTGTATTTTGCATGTGGTACCTTCAGAATCAGAAACTTCTCTATGAGAGTGCTAATATCTCGCTACAAAGAAACTGGATCAATGTTTTCCGCATTGCAATATGCTTTAGGCCTGTCTCCATCCCTCTTGACAGACAGACCTGCTACATGGAAATGGGTAAACGTTTCAGCGCAGCGATATGCTGCTGTATTGGGAAATAGATCAAATAGAGCTAGACTGGTACCCTGCCCTTCGCCTCCTAGCAGCTGCAGGCGAGGGGTGCAAGCGCTCCAGGGCAGGTAAACCAGTCCAGGACAGGATGTGGCTCCCTATTACGAATGTTGTCGAATAACATAAACATGTTTAGTGTAATCATTTACAGTACAGAATGTTTTAAAAACTATTTTAATAATTATAATGTATTTCGTATGTATGCATGTCTTTATCCACAAGCGAGACAAAGATAAAGTTTCTTCTAAATGTTTGGTTACATCTTTCCAACAATTACTCATCTCCATGCCCCCATGTAATTTTCTCAAAACAATAACAAATGAGGCACAGCACAACAGTCACCATTGCACTTGCTTTCTCTATAGTGTTTTGCCTCTTTTGTCAAGACACCCCTCCCCCCTTATATTCAATGATCGGGTGTATTATTTATCTGGTCAGCTTGCATTTGAGTATTGGAGCAAGTTCACTTTTCACTGCTGGAATAAATGGTTCATTTCCCGCATATGTATTAAACGACTGACATCCAAAAATCAAACCACTCTGGTTACATTTATTTGTGACAGAATGCACTTGTATTTCCTCTGGTGATGTTTGCAATCTAATGATTCCTATCCCTAAAATGAAATCACTAGAGAATTCTATGACATGTTCGAATTTTAAGGAAAAGGTTAAAAAGGCAAGCCAGTGACATCTTTCATAGCAGTTATTTCATGATAAAGTGAGAGTCCATCAACACAGATCAAGGTTTTATCATATCTCAAAGTCCACTATCTGAACCCACTATAGGCTACTGCATAGATGTAGATCGTTTTAGGAATACAACTAAACAATGCAAGACACGATTAAAATAAATATGAATTTCGAAAAATAACATGTGACGTTTCTCAAACTCCAAAATGTCACCATCTAGAATGCAATTCACCTTGGTCATGCCGACACCGACAACAAACACTTTACGACCAACCATTTCGTCGAAGCTTCGTGCACTGTTTACAACGAGATGAGCCATGCCTTGACCCGTAAAGGTTCAGTAGTATTTTCCTTCCAGCTATTTACCGTTGATGTGTCGCAACGTTGTCGTCTGTTGATGGATTAATATTGGTTCGCTTTCTGTCGGAAGCATACTATATCAATCTCCACACATTTATATTTAATGTAATGTTTAAATACATCTTTGGATTGAATTTTATTGGAGTGATTTCATATTTATAATTATGTGTAAATTGGGTATATCGCTAATGAACAGAGACTGATATATAGTTGAGACGCAAAAACGACTTGCAATTGTACATTTAATATTAAAGATATTCCACGAGGTAAATATGTTCAGATAGTATGACATATGATTGATGGTCGTTGGAATTGTATTTGCCCTGGCAGCTACAACCATAAGGGTGGAAGAGTGAGATGCCTAGTATCACGGCAACGTTATGTCGGAGGATAAGCCCAGTGTTATAATCGTTTATCACTCTATCGGTAAGACACGAACACAGGTATGGTGTTCAAATGAAATTATATTCGTCTGCCATATCGGTGTTTGGGATACAATTCGAACATAACTTATCCGCTGATAAAATGTGTTTGTTTTTCATAGTTTTTTTTTATACATACCTATTTTCCATCAGTTACAGAAAACTAGACCGGTTAATAAACAAAAAGGTGCTTATATTAAGAGACCGCTCTAGAACTAAGCAAAACTTACAAGAATATGCAGAAACTTATTACACAATAACAACAGTAACTGTACAGGAAATGGAAACCCTTCCGGTAGAGTTGTCGGGTGGTAAATGGTTGCTAAAGATATCTGATTTTTTATTCAGTGTTCTTTTCATTTAGTCAGCGAATATGCCCGATATCAAAATGAAAGCATTGAAAGCTTTGACAATTTCAGTATACTTTTCCCGATATCTGCATATCCGTAGAGACGTGAAAAGCAAAAGTATAGTAATACATGCCGTTTCTGGAATGTCCGTAATGTTGTTTTGTTTTGGTTGTTGTTTAACGCCGCACTCAGCAATATTCCAGATATATGGCGGCGGTCTGTAAATAATCGAGTCTGGGCCAGACAATCCAGTGATTGACATGAGCATCGATCCACCCAATATTGGGATACGATGACATGCATCAACCAAGTCAGCGAGCCTGGGGACCACCCGATCCCGCTAGTTGCCTCTTACGACAAGCACAGTCGCCTTTTACGGCAAGCATGAAGACCTATTCTTCCTCGGATCTTCACGGGTCAATTTCTTTAATGAATACCAGAAAATATACAATGGGTCTGTCTTCATACGGGTGACCGCTAGAACAGTCAGGATTATATCTGAAACGAAGTGTTGAGACCGCTCCAAAAAAGACGAGATTCCTCTAGAGGTGAGGTGAAATTGGGTTTAACGTCGCGTGCAATTTATTGCACTTATATAGCGACGTGCATGCACGTGTATGTGTGTGTGTGGCTGCTTGTACTAGTCCGGACTGATGCCGATTTATAGTGCTAGCTCACTGAGATACCATGCCGCAGTTTAACATGAATACCCCACTCAGACACAGTAAACTGACTCCGAGCCGACCGGTCCTTGTTTAAGCCCCTTAATGCCGAGCGCCAGACAGGGTAACAACAAGTACAATCTTTTAACGTCTTTTTGTATGACGCGGCCCGGGCGGACGCTCTACCACAAGACCACGGAGGCGGTCTCCTCTAGAGTGTACATCTTGACATAATAAGTTCAGATAATTTCCAAATTTTGAGGTAGTCTTAATCGATTATTTATATATGTTTTAGAGTGTCATTCATTAAAGGTGGTACTTTTGACGTATATGGTATGAATATATGTTGTCACTCTATTTTTCAAATTGCCATCTCCAATACAAAATTAGCTGTTACGGATGTACTATCATTGTAAGCCTCGTCTGATGGACAGTGCACTACTTCCAAAGACGCACTTAGGGCACCTTGTCAATTACTACGCTTTCAGAAGGCTTTATTACAAATAAACGCTATAAATTTAACATTTGATTGATGCATATACTTTAAATGAAACGATCGAGACTATTAATTTCTTGATGCTTGCTGTTATAAGCAGATCCTGAAAAAAAGGTGGACCTATATTTTGTGTAATACTTCGGTCAACATGGAAGCTGTTCGGTTACAGTAATTTTTGGCGCGGGTTATTGTTACGATCATGGCACTAAACACGGAAATTCAAGAGCTATTTCTCACATAACAGTTAAAATGGGGACGGGATCTATCGGATAACCATTTCCGATTATATCCATCAAGGATTTATACTCGAAATCTCTCACGATTTAATCTGATACACCGATAAGACAGGTGAGTACCATGTCATTTACAATGGTTGTGATGCTTTTCAATTCCTTATTTTCGTTTGTTATTCAAGAAATATTGCTTACATTTTATGGTATGCGTGTTGAATAGTATTATTTGATCATATACGTATCACTGCCGACCTTTGCAAAGCCATCGGTAACTGTCAAATGCTGATTTTGAATGTAAATGTATGGTTTCCTTCCTGACCGAGTGTCCCGTTTGTTTACAGTTTGTTCCGGTGTTGATATCAAAGGTGTTTTTGAGCCGTACTTCTGTATTTTTTATCTCAGTGTACATTATGATCGAAAACGGTTTACTCATTACTGTTGTCAGTCTTTTCCTACGTTTATCTGCTTTGGCATTGTAATTTTGTAAGACATGCATTGTGATTTATCAGGCAAGACTGGAAGCCATTTACTCAGTAGGCGACCAACATTTTGGTGAATGTTATGAGGCAATAATAGACAAAATCGAAGCTGTTTCTCGCATGTTTACGTTATGCTTCATTCATATAGAATATACTTTTATAATTACGTATGACTGTGCCTTCCTGTTATTAAAATATTGTTATTTCGGTACAATTTTATTAAAGACAGTCCAAACAGGAAGAGGCTAAATAAAGGGACGTAACTCTTGGAACACTACACGGTTATTAATTGACAGTTCTAAGAAGTTAGTCACAAATTGTGCTATGACATTGTGGATGTAAATTTGACTTTGTTACCTGTGCAATGTTAAATTGTAAGAAATCAAACAGTCATTTGGAATGGAGGTTAACTCTGTGCTTACATGTCATTACGACACCCCTTTCAAACATATCTGTTCTTTTTTAGTGTTTTGGTATGTTTTATTATGAATTATAGTCTGGAAAGGTTGTATCTGATGATCTGACATTATTACTTAACAATTGGATGATTTTGGTATGTAAATAATCTGTAGCATTTACAGTTTCCTCGCCCACAGCCTCTTTCTGTGTTGCAAAAAGAACAATTGGCAATTTCACTCTAAAAGAGCAAAATAAGTCTCACAAATTCAGTTCATGTATTATATCACATATATCATGATATATGTATCAACATTCTATCATCTTTTTAAACTGCCCAATAGTTAAGGTATCTTAAGGACTAGTAGTAATTTGCCGTTTTTAAGGGTTTTGCTATATGCTGTTATTATAAGGACTAATAGACTAAAAGTGTTAGTTTCTAACACTGATTTTATATCCCACTGTGGTTGGGTATGTTCAAAGATTGTTGTTGATGACATGAAAAGCTAGTTGCACCAGACATGACCAGGTAGCACCCTGGTCCCCAATAAACTGTCAAAGTTGAAATGTAAATTCATATAGAACTATGTGTCTAAGTAAGTAAAAGCTAAGATCTCTGATGACTGTCATGTGTCATGAATGGCACATAACATAATAGCATAGAATTTTGTGATATAGTATGGTAAATACTGGAGGGGTGGGGGTGGGAGACAGGTGCTTGAGATCAATATACTGTACAGAGCTACTGTGTAACAAAGTAAATATATGAGATAGGTGTATGATGACACAGTTTGACATTTCTGTAAGCTGTCTTTTTCTCAGGTTTGATTTCACTTATGAAACATGACAAATTGTCACTGTTGTCCAACAAGTTAGAATCACTAATTTTTGGTTCATGTGATGTGAGATCTTAGTTTGAGTCACAAAAGAAATTTCTTGCCCAGTGTCATACTTTTAAATGTCAGTGTGTGATTTCTGACCTGAAGTCATGTGTTATGAGCCTGCATCTTTTATTTTTTTAATTGTGCTTTTGTTTTTGAAATGCATAAAACAATCAATATAACATGCAGTGTCAACATTAACGTGGATCCTTCAGATTTGCTGCTATAGTATAATTAGTATTTGAATCTTGAAACACCCTGAACCATTAACTAGTAACATAAGTTTTATGACAACATGGTCACATAGATAAACATAGCCTGAGACAAGTGAAAATCCAGAGGGACTTGTTTTTTCTCTCTTAAAATTTGGATATTTTACATAAACCACTATTCCGAAATGAGCAGTAGACTCCCAAGATTTGACCAATGGCGCTGACACTTGGACAAGGACCATTTCAATTTCATTCTTGTTTTGACTTTTGACAAGACATGTTTGAGCCACAATGATTGATTTATGTTTACTGTTAGGTATAAAATTCAGTGTTCATTCTATTTTGAGAGTTCAACATTGCATCATAACTGCATATGCTTTAATAGGGCCAACCATCATTTTAAACAATGTATATAGATTATGTTTTGTTTGCCTACTACATGTACAAGGTTTGAAGAATAATTTTTTTTGTGGTCATTCCAGGTTAGAATTGGTCATCAGCAATCTATGGTTGTTGTACAAGGGAACTTAATGGAACAGGTGTCCAGATTTGGTGACTTGGTTGATTGTGTATCACTGTATCCTGACAGCATGGATCGTTGCTCATAATATCATTGGTTTTCTGGTTCAGATTCAATTATGTTACAGACTGAAAATCACATAGCTGGAATAATGTGCAGCAATAACCACAAACAAATATATTTGTTTTACTGGACTTTATAAATGCCAGTAGCTTAAGTCATGGACTGATCAAATTGGATTTGAAATAATTTTAGAAGCATTGCCATAATAGTCATGATGGTGATTTAGTCTTTTATTCCAGAACTTTTGTAGGTATGTATACACCATGAATATTAGGAGTGGGATG